CAATGTTTCACTCAAAGAATAATTTTTTTCGTGTAACGGGACCTGAAAAACCCCATCCTCGCCTTCGACTCGGAAGGCAATCGTGCACGTGGAGGACGGTGATCTGTTTTCCAAGGCTCGGGCATGTAATGTACTATTCCTGAATTATAACGAATTCTTCCGTTTTCAGAATTTCACCAAAAATTAGGTCCATGGCAAAAAAATCAATATTATTTTATTTTGTCATATAAGTATTGATTTCATTAAACAAACCATCGAATAACCAAAATCGAATGAAAAATTTAAAATTGAATATTTTTAGATTTTCTATTTTTTTTTTCAATTCATTCTCGACATTCAAGTTCATTAATCATCTATAATTTAATCTTGTCAGCTCGTAACTTTTATCACCAAAAAATCATTTCCCATTCCACTAATTATAAACAAATGCGTGTATTATAGAAAATATGCACTGATGTATTTAATGTATACACGGTGTTCGTTTCTTATTCGAGGTTAGAAATCCGATTTGTAATTCTAGCGTACTTTCGTAAATAGCACTGTCGCGGCCGAATTGCTCATTCTCATGAAAGTTCTCATGAGAATGCGTCTTTCACCCGCCGCAATGACTCTGAAGATAACAACATGTGGCAATTTATTCGATACGACACTCTATTTCTGTTTCATAAGTTCATGATCGAACACGTCCGTTCGACTTCGACTTTCGGTGAATCGATTCGACATTCTTCAATTCGAGTTTTCATTCGGCAGCCATTATGCTTTCCTTTATATATAAGGACCACACCGTGCCTACCTTCCGAAATTTTTGGGCGAGGGTGTTCCTAAGCGGTCACCCATCCAAGTACTAACCACGCTAAACGCAACTGCACTCGGATGTCCGCCGGAGCAACACCTAACTCACCCAACCATTACGGTCGGTTGGTAAAAACTCAATCAACTGACACCAGTTCCATGCCTTCATCTTCCAATGGGGGAGTGGAAAACTCGCGTTGAAGGTCACGATGGCGCTGAAGAAAATGATACGGTTGTCAAGTGCCGAGGGGCCCCGCAATATTTGCGCCAAATTAAAAATTCATTTCTCCTCTCCTAATTCAGATGGTGAGATGGAACGGATGCCACTCGATTGAGAATTGAATTCTCAATGAACGGACACGCGTTTCATTTCTTAATCTCAATTAGGAGCGGAGGAATGAATTTTCAAAAACGCGGAGTAACCCCGAACGGTTCTCCGGCATCGAGTGAGGCCGGAGGGGCTCTACCGATTTGAAAATTCATTTCTCCCCCCCTAATTGAGATGAAGGAATGAAATCAACGCCTATCGATCAAGAATTATATTCTCAATAAATATCAGCGCATTCATTCCTTAATCTCAGTTAGGAGCGGAGGAATGAATTTTCGAACCGCGGAGTAACCCCGAACGGTTCTCTGGCGTCGAGTGAGGCCGGAGGGGTCCCACCGATTTGAAAATTCATTTCTCCCCCCCTAATTGAGATGAAGGAATGAAATCCTATCGATGGAGAATTATATTCTCCATAAATGCCAGCGGTTTCATTCCTTAATCTCAATTAGGAGCGGAGGAATGAATTTTCGAACCGCGGAGTAACCCCGAACGGTACTCCGGCGTCGAGTGAGGCCGGAGGGTCTTCACTGATTTGAAAATTCATTCCTCCCCCCCTAATTGAGAGGAAGAAATGCAACCAATGCCTATCGATCGAGAATTATATTCTCAATAAATGACAGCGATTTTATTCCTCGATCTCAATTAGGGGGGGGGGGGAGAAATGAATTTTCAGATCAGTGGAGCCCCTCCGGCCTCACTCGATGCCGGAGAATCGTTCGGGATTACTCCGCGCTTTTAAAAATTCATTCCTCCACACCTAATTGAGATTAAGGAATGAAACCGCTGGCATTTATTGCGAATATAATTCTCGATCGACAGGCATTGATTTCATTCCATCATCTCAATTAGGGGGGGGGG